TAATCCATCCCAGGTCCTTCCAAATCTACTTATTAAATGACATTAAACAAAAGAGCACATGTAAAGCCCTTGGCACACTGCCTGGCACTGGGTATTTTTAAATGGTGGTTATTATTAATTTCCTAGAATCCTAATTACTCATAGCTTTCATTGCCCCTTGCTACTCAAGTGTAGTCCCTATACTAGCCACATCAACATCACCTGGCAGCTTGCTAGAAATGCAGAATCTTAGACCCTGTCCTGAACCAACCTCACCAGAATGTGCAGTTTAACAAGATGCTTAGTGAGTTCATGCCCACAAACGCTGGGGAAGCCTGGTCCCAATGAGATGCCTGAGCCTGTCTGTACCCAGCGTTCGTCCAGTCTCCATAAACCTAACTCCCCAAAGCCACTTGTCCCAGTATCAAATAGTTCTATTACAAAGTTTTTCTTTATGTTTTATGTTTATGATTTTACAGTTCCCAGTTCTTGTCTCTTGGGTACATACAAGAAACAAATTCTCTTCCTTCTGGCAAGCAGCAGGGAACGAGGACAGGGTGATGGTAGCCGTCAGAAGACCCAATAATGACGTGCAATTCCTTCGCTTTCTGAGCAGGTCTCAGGGCACAGGCCAACTCGGAGACAACTGTAATCCAGTTCCAGTCAAAGAGGAGTGCTAATACCAACCAACAAACAGGACCTTCCTGCTCCGCTCCGAGCTCCACTTCTTTCTTGGGGAAGTCATCTCACTGCTACTTCTCACTGCATACATAACATCCTTTACTGGAGGGCAGTCCCCAGAGACACCGAGCCGGTGCTCATGAGGAAGCCACAAGCTGGTCAGGGGTCTATGCTTAGGCTATAATACTGCTTTCCAGTCTGTCTGTCTTTGGTTTATTAGAGTATATGTCTGTCTCCCCAAGGAAACCACAAACTCTTTGAGGATGAGGGATTGTGCGTCTGGTGCATAGCAGATGCTCAATAAATATTATTGAATTAATCTGAATTGAAATATGGTAGTCCTCAGGAATTCAGACTATTTTCTAGTAACAAAGTGGTAGGTTAAAAATAATTAATTTTCCTAATATGGGATGCTTTCTGCAATTTACAATTAACCCATTCATTTGACCAATGTTTGCTATGTGCCAGACACTTAAATGCCAAGGTAATTATAAAGATGAATAAGACTCTCCCTGTCCTTCAAGAAACCCACAGTCTAGTTACAGAAGAAGAGACACAAATAAATTACTTAATACAATGTGTATGTGCAATTGTAGGGATACAGGAAATTGTTATGGATTCTCAGGAGAATAGCTAGCTCTTCCCAGAGGTAAGAAAATAGCATTTAACATAATAATAATGAAGTTTGGTCTAATATTTTTTCTCTTCGAAGTACACATTAGCTCATTTAATCTTTATAGGAAACCTATGAGTAGATGCAATTATCCCTGTGAAAAATGAGAAAAATGAGATTCAGAGAGTATAAGGAAAAAAGAGAGAGAGAAAGAGGGAGTGTGCATAAGAAACTAGCCCGACTGCACAGCTAGGAATTAGCAGAGTGAAGACTTGAACTCAGATCTCCAATTTCTAAATTCCAAGACAATCCCCACCCTTTTTAAAAAAAAAAATGATATTGTCAAGTTTTACACTTTGTTTTCTTTGCAATGCAGCTGATGGCTATACATGATATAAAAACAGGGTAACCAGGTAACCATTTAGAATGAGTGGGGTAGAGGATATGGCAAGAGCAGCCACTTGACTGGTCCTTCTATGTCACTGTTCATTGCTTTCTGTCCCTGGTTCAACCTTTCTTCCTGCTCTCCAATCTTAGAATTCATGTTCTAATAAGACCAAGAAAAAGACTCTAGGCGTAAGAGAAAGGAGTTCTTTTCTCACTTGACAGAAGATCTGAGCGGGCAAAGAAAGCCATGGAGAACATTCTTTTGGTGTAATGATGCCAAATGGCATTTGGACACTCAAGATTCCTTCCCCACCATCTGGTCTAAAATGGCCTTTCCGATTTTATTTCCCTTTTTACTGCATGGGAAAGACATTTTACTCGGATGCTAGATCATCATAAGATAAATACCATATTGAATCAATCTTTTTCCTTAAAATCCTTTAAATTCCCCCAAAGTGCAGCTTTCACCACCAGAAGCAGAGACCCCAGGACCCACTGTGGACACGATGTCTTCTGTCTCATGCTCACCGCAGGATCGACACTCTTCAAGTACAATAGCCTGCATTCTTTTTGGTTCTTCTTTCTAACTAGATTATATGTGGGTTTGGGTTCAACACAGGTGTAATGCAACACTGCTTACTTGTTCTCCCCAAAGGTACTGAAGCCTTTGTGATGCTATTTTCTTGATCTGGAATGTCCTTCCTCTGCATCTTCCCACGGCTACACCCTACTCCTTGGGAAGCCATACATGACCAGTGCCTCTACCTTTCTCTGCCCGAAAAAAGTGAACAGTAATCTGGACTTCCCCTGCACCAAATCTGTTGCTTTTAAGGACCTGGACGCTAACTGTCACACATTAAGTTCATTGCATCCCTAATCGCACATGACTTTCTAGAAGGTTCTACCCTTCCTAATAGTAGAATTGATGCATGGCTTATCTTTGCATCCTGAGAGACTGACACCAGCCCTGGCATATGGTAGGCCCTCAGTATTTAGTTAATGAATGGATACTTATAAAATGATAATTCCACACTAACTTTCTGTTTGGGGGGGGTCTTCTTATGTATGAAACATAATGAACTGTTGCCAGACCTCACCTCACCAGGATCCCATAAGAGGCAAAGCATTTCTGTTGCTCCCACGTCAGGGATGGAGCACGGGTGAAAGAAGACAGGGCAGATAAACTGGGGACTTAAAAACATTTGATAACCACAACTGTGGGGCATGGGAGTGATCTGAAACAAACCATTTCCTGCCCCACCTCACCACCAAGTTTTTCACAAGGAGGCCTAGAGACAGGTGGAAGAGGCAGATAAAAAGAAGTAGAAAACACAAGCCATGTGTGTGTGCCAACTTTTAATACTGCCCAGATTCTTAATAATTTCCCTGGAAAAGAGATTGGCTACACTTCTAACAGCCTGTTTCCTTTTCATGATTCTTCCCTGTGGTTTAGGAGCAGATAATTTGGGGATGAGTTTTCTGATGCCAGGAGCCCAGCTGATCAGAGCCCCACCATCACCTGGGACCATCAGCGGAGCTTATTCCAAAGTCAGGATTTCCTGGGAGGCCATAGTCAATTGGAAACGAAGATCTGGAACAATGCACACTGGTGTTTTCCGGACATCCCCTTTCCTGCCCTTTCCTGATGCTTTCATACGTTTCAAACCCCCTCCCAACCAGCAAATCACAAAGCACTGCAACGTGCGGAAAAGAGAGAAGAGGAGCTTATTTTTCCTGTGGGCATTCCTCACAGCACCTAGGATAGCTCTGCACAGGCTACCAAGATCAAGGGCAGGGACCAGGACTACCCCGTGAAGGACGGGGCCCCTGGTGCCCGAGTGCCGGGCGAGTGCAGCTTCATTTCTTCAATACTTGTGTCCTCCTTGGAGCCTCTCAAGCAGCCGAGGAGATATTCACCAAACATAACGCCTCCTAAAGCCACCACCAGCTTCCTCATGGCACCGAGTTCGATTTTGGACTCCCTAGGGCTTTCAAGGGGAAGGGGCAGGCATAGGCCAACTTTGAGGGGATCCCTGTCACCATCATTCCAGGATGGAATACAGGTGGAACGAGCGCCTAGTCCAAATCCAGTCTGGCTACATCACAAACCTTTTTCCCGAAATCCTTACTGCTATCTCCTAGAACAGGTATTGTTATCCCCATTTTACAGATTGCAGTCCGGAGAAATGAAATGCATTACTGAATAGCACATGCTTATTGAATACAGGGCCCCAGATTACAGCTTGGGGGTGCCGGATTCCATAGTCCATGCTGCTTCTGCTATGCCAAACTCCCTGAGCAAACCTCCCCATAGAGGGCAGTGGGCCGGGCAGCTGTAACCGTAGGGCACACAGCCGGCTGGAGGCAGAGACGGGACCCACAGCACCATCTCCTAATTTCTTCCCTGTGTTCTCTGCACTGAGCTGCCCAGTATCTCCAGGAGGAGGGGACTGTCTGGCACTCACGTGTCCCAGGCTCATCGGCATCTATTAATTTCTACTTAATGAGGAAAACAAACACACAAAGATGTAAACCTCAGTAGCTCTCGTCTAACCCCACAGCTCCTATACCTGGACTGGCCCTTTCCCTCTTACTGGTGCTCAAAACCAGCTGTCGGGGTAGCTCTTTCTAAAATGCAAGCCTGGCTCTGATGCTCCCCGGGTCAACACTTTCCATGGATCCCCACTGCTTCCTGAATGACCTCGGACCTCCTCACTGATGTACGAAAGGCTCTTCGTGCCTCGCCCCACCCTTCCCTGCCAGGCCCGGCTCCCTTCCCAGCACTCTATCTTTTTTACTCATTTCCTTCCTGAAACTTATGACAGCCAAACAGTCAATGGGTTTAGCAAAGTTTTATGTATCCCCAGAATTCTCATTACTCCCATTTTAGCCTGGAGATACCCTGTGATTTTATCAAGGACCATTCACGTTTGTAAAATGTTACCTCTTTTGAGAAGCACACCACCTTTGATGACTCGGCACTTTGTACCCATGCCCACAGCCTGCCCTGGCACAGCACCCTGTCTCCCATGCATTCGTGTGCACATTCTAGCTCCTCCAGGGATGCATGCTATCATCTCTGAAAACCCACCGACGTGAGCAGAGGGCCGAGATCAGTGAACACTTGTTGACTCACTCGCTGGACTCAACACTCACTTCCATAGGGATGTGGCAACGTGTTGGTTTTATTTGCCGCAAGCCAAGGCTGGTTCTAAGTGGCAGTCATTGCCCCAATTTTCTGGTTGTGTGTGTGTGTGACCGCCAACGCCCAAATGCACCGTTAACGTAGGAAAGGAGAGGAAGGGGACACAGTCACCTCGGTGAGCAGGGTGGAGCTTACCTGTGATCATGCTCAGTGCTGACAGGCATGCTAAGGCTTGGATATCAAGGTTCAGGCTCTGCAAACTTAAGGAAAAGTCTTTAATGGAGTCGAGCCACTCCCCAAATCCACGAAGGCACTGAAGTCGATGCAGGACAAGTCCATTGCAGAACACAAACTTATCTTCAGCAGTGTTTGACCTATAAGACAAAGTCGTGGGGGTGGGTGGGAGATGGAGACACATCAAACATGTGTTCAGTCAGTCCAACATCAGAACACAAAGGCACCTAAACAGTCATGAGGCAGCCTTCAGAACCCCCCGGCATGGTGCTGTGCAACCTTCCCAGATATTCTCGATGGACAAGACTGTGCTCCTGGGATGGACAGCCACTGCTACTTGTCTGCGCGAACCTTCTGAGGGGCAGCCCTGGGTAGCAGGCGGTGGAGCCCCTGCTCTCTTATTACTCGAATCAGGTGCTCGAATCATCCCTGCGAGGGATGGGACAGGGAGGAGAAGGCACTCAGGGAGGATGGACGTGAAGTCCCAGGCGCCACCTCTCTCTGTAGTGAACGTGAGGCTGTTCCCTTCAGGGCTCCTTGGCCAGGACTTCTCCCTTTTATTCTTAAATGTCAAAAACTGATAAGACCTGAGCCTAGACACTACAATTCCACTGTGCAGACTCTAAGAACACTTCTTGCAATTGCCAGAAGTCAATCCCAGAAATTAAAAGTGATCCAAAGTCCAAGTAATTGTTGTTGGAAGTCTCCTTCTGTCCTTTTAACAGCGGGGATGTGGAGGGCTGTTTCTAAATCGGCCTGATAGTTTATATTATGCCCATCACCACTCTGGAACACCTAGACGTCACCACTTAGCCATGGGCCTGGGGGGCATGCCTTTCATCTCTCCCTTTCCTTATCTATAAAAAAGGAAATTCTGATTACTACCTCCTGCCATTGTTGTGGGAACTCAATAAGGTATTTGAAAGCCCACGCACAGGGCCTGGTACAGAAGAGGAGCTCAATGAGTATTAGGTGTAATAAATTCTGACTTCTCTATGGTCCTTACTTGAATCTTACCTTTCCTTTCATTTTCCAGTCTCTTGCTACATATTTCTTTCTTTCAGCCTATTGCGTTAACAAGTTAATATCTCTTGATTTGGGCTTCTTGGATGAGTAGCTTTATTCATTCATTCCCTTAGCAATTATGTCCTTTGCCCCAGGTATATGCCATTCCTGGAGCCAGGCACTGAAGAAAATTTGGTGAATAGTACATACATGGCACCTGCCGGCATGCAACTTATCCCTTACTTAATCCATTGCTGCCTGCCCAACAGAGGACAGTCCCCTTGCTGGCTTGGCTGCTGGCTTGGCTTCTGTGCACATGAGATTGGCTATCATTATGCTAATGACTGACCCTCCCAGACGTAACTCCACCTCTGTCTCTCCTGCCACAGAGGCGTGCAAAAGACAGAAGGATTCAGCCTCAGAGTTTAAAACCTGGACCTCAGGCCACTGGCATCAGAATCACTGGAGCATGAGTTAAAAATGCAGATTTCTGGACTTCTTCCGAAGTAGCTCCAAACCAGAAGAGCTGAGAATGAGGCCTGGGAACCTGCACTTTGCACAAGAGTTTCTGGTAATAACACTTAGATATGAAAAGCTTAGAGAGAAGCTCAGATCCCAGGTTCCAGCTTTTTCGAAAATCACCCCCTCTTTGTCTTTGGTGTCACTGAGGAGGACAGGTTGGATCAAGTCTTGATCCAAAAGCTATTCTCTTGGAGTAAACACGTGGGGTTGAGAAGCTGTGGGAACTCTTTAGAGCCCCATCTGGTGTACTCTGAGCAGCCCCTTGTTAAATAGAAACCCGTGAGGTAAATGCTACGCTCAAAACAAATACCTCCTGCCAGGAAATGCCTCACGCACCATGAGAGAATCTTCCTCGAATCACAGAATGTTGGAACTGCCAGGGGCTTCAGAGATCAGCCTCAGAGATCAACCATGGGCTTCAGAGATCTGACCTCCTCATATCACAAAGCAAAGGGAGTATCAGGGGAGGCCAGGGACCGGCTCAGGGTCATAGAGCAAGTCCATTTTGGAACTGAGACTAGAACCTGGGAGTCCTGGCTCCTAGGCAAGTGCTCTCACCCACAGCCTAGTTTCATTCATGCCTGGCCATCTTTCCTATTTCCTTCCTGAGCAAACTTTTCACCGATGACTCCGTTACAAACCCAGCAGATTTCCAACTTCTCCTAAGCAAGGGGAGAACTTAAAAAAAAAAAAAAAAAAATCATAGTAATTACCTGATGGAAAGTCTGAGAACAAACAGCTCCAAAAAGGCTGATTCTATAAGCAACGTCTGATCTTCTTTGGGGAGATCAGTAAATCCGGGGATCTTTTCTGCCCAGCTTCTGGACACATCGATGGAGGCTGTCAGGAGGTTGTAGAACTGTTGCACGTGCTCAGCATCCGTGCCTGCTGCAGCCTGTTCGGCCGGACAGTACTAGAAGGCAAACCGCAGAGAGCTGCATTAGCGCAGGTCCACTGGGGCGGCAGCACCATTTGCAAATTAGCTTTTTCAAGACAGTCAGGGCCTAAATCCTCATTTTTAGGTCCCACGGTTGTAAAACATTTTTTTTTTTTTTTTTGCATTTAGTCTCATCTGATTCTCATAATGTAAACAGAGCAAATTATGTCACCTCCTTTTTTTTTTTTTTTTTAAAGATATTTATTTATTTATTTCACAGAGAGAGACACAGTGAGAGAGGAAACACAAGCAGGGGGAGTGGAAGAGGGAGAAGCAGGCTTCCTGCTAAGCAGGGAGCCCGATGCGGAGCTTGATCCCAGGACCCTGGGATCATGACCTGAGCCGAAGGCAGACGCTTAAGACTGAGCCACCCAGGCACCCACATTGTGTTATATCTTAACAGACAAAAGAAACCTGGTGACATCCATTAGTGCAGTGGTTTTCCATCCTGATGCAAGACTGAAATCAAGTTTTACAAAACACCTTGTCTAGCTCATCTGCACAGAGATTTGAATTTAACAGGACTGGGGTGGGGACTGGTCATCAGGAATTTCAAAGGCCCCCCAGGTGATTCCAAAGAGCTGTTAAGGAGAATCATTACCCCTGAGGTCTGTGTCCAACAGGCCTCCAGGGTCTACTGATTCCACCACAGCATAGCTGTCTCTGGGATGCTGATTCAGTCACAGTTCTCCAAGTGTAGTCCCTGGGCCAGCAGGACCAGCAACACCTGGGAATGTGCCGGAAATGAACATCTTGGGTCCCCACCCAGAACTATAGAAGCAGAAACTCTGAGACTAGGAGAGACTGTTTTATGGAGACCTCCAGCTGATTCTCGTGCACACTGGAGTCCAGGAACCACAGAATTAACCAATAGGAAAAGAGAATGATTTTTGCTTGTTGCAGGTAGATTTCTGTAAGATAAAACAAACCAGACCAGAGGAGGGGGGTGTCTCCTTAGCAGGGCCCCGGCAGTCATGTGCTATCAGACTCAGGACTTATGGCTACTTAAATTCATGAAAACTAAATAGAAAGCCCAGTTTCTCAGTTGCGCTGGCCATATTTCTAGTGCCCTAAAACCATATGTCAGGTGGAATATTTCAATCACTGCAGAATATTCTACAGGACAGCACTGATCTAAAGGATCCCAGGAGAAGAAAGGTACAAGTAGGAATACAGTCCTTGTCCAGCTTTTGGATATTCTGGTAGACTCAGGGTTTTGCTTGAGTCACTAGAGGAAAAAGTCTTTGCTGCTCTGGGCAGGAAGATTGATAGAGCAAGATAGTAATCAAGGGTCAAACAACAACAGAAACGCAACAGATCTGCAGAAATACTTATGGAAGTACGCACACCATTTCCTTCGCCCTCACGCAGCCTTATGTGTGTTTGTGTCTTTTGTCTCAATTCCTGCGGGGTATGGATTTTAATCCGTATTTTACAGGTGAGAAAAATGAGGCTCAGGGGGACTTAGGAAGGTGAAGACTTTCCCAAGGTACACAACCAATAGTGGTCCAGCCAAATCTTAAACATGGCCCCATGACTCCTCCTTCTACACTCCTTGGCTATTAATATGTCTGATGTTCCTAGCTGGTAGCCTGTGGGATAGTTTTAAATAGTGTTTTTGCTTTGCTCTAATCGGAGGTGTCTGCGTGTGTATTTGGTCCCATGTTTTTGTCAACAGCACAGTGACAGCACATAATTGACCTCCAATAAGTTGTTGAATATTGCTCAGTGAAAAAACAGTCAGGGGAGTGCCTCGGTTTGTCACAATGCCCTAACCTGGCTCCCGGAGGAACAGCCAGGAAGCGCCAGGAGCTGACTAAGGAAACACTTAGGAGGAAATGAGGTACTTGCCTTAACTGGGTCTCTCTCTCTTTTTCCCCTTTGTGCTTTCCCAAGAGGCATCATGAAATACCAAAAGACACCATCAGACAAGGGGCCCAGATGCTTTAATCCTAGATTTGTCTAGGCCCCTAATTTGTGAAAGAATGTAGCTCTGTCTGTAGTTACCTGGGATAAATTACTTCACTTTTCTGAGCCTCGGTTTTCTCCTCTGTAAAGTGGGGATTAGAGCAGAACCCCCTTTAGAAAGCTGACAGTACTACATGTGAAACTCCCACGTGCTATCTGGAGTAGAGAAAAGAATTTTGGACCAGGCAGTAGGTCAATGGGTCCTCCTCCAAGCTCTGGCATTGACTTGCTATGCAGCCCTAGCCAAGTTACTTAACTTCTCTGGAGAATGAAGTGACCGGGCTACCTGATTTTTAAGATATCTTCTGGCTCTCTGCATTCAGCTGTCTTTCTCCTATTGATTTCTAGTTTAGTTACATTGCGGTTTGATGGCACACATCGTCTGTTTTCATTCTTTTAAATTTGTTAGGGTGCATTTTATGGCCCAGACTATCAACTACCCTGGTGAATGTTCCATATGATGGCTCTTGAATTCGATGATTCTACATGTTGTTAATCATACCAGCTATGCTGTTACTGCCTAGAATTTGGCACTGATTTAGCATTATTTTGTCTTAAAATAGTGTGTTAAATGGAGAGAAAAAGACCAAAGGTTGTAAACTTGTCCCTGGGAACAGGACCTAATAGCGCCCTTCTGCACTGACCTCCCTGAAACCATGGCTCACAACTCCGTAATCCCTCTGCTCAGAATCCTCCGGAGTGCTTAGCTTCCATCCAGCATTCTCTGTAGGCCTCATCCCTGCTGGGCTCACATTTCATGCGTCCTGCACACAGGGAGGTGCAGACCCTGCCTACTGTGTTTGTGCAATTGTCTCCGATGGAGTTCAGCAAGGAGAAAAGCCAGCAGGCCCGGCATGCTGGACTCCAGCCAGACCCTCCGGGCTTCACCTGCAGTGATTCTGGCCCACGGTCCGGAATTTTGGGGACAAACTGGAGTCAGCCTGAGCCACCACTAACTTGGGGTTGACTAGAGGAAAAAACAAACCAAAGGTCCCCTCTGTTGAACGTAAGATTTAAAGGAACAGAACAAAACATTTTGGATCCTTTCTTACCTGGCCTAGAAGTTTTTTATAAAACCTTGCCAAGGCATACTGGGATTTGCAGGTGGAAGAATCTGATCCACATTCTCAGCTTCTGGGCTCCCCTACATCACTCTGTTTCTGGGCGAGGCAGTTTTGGGGTTCACCAGAGAGAATCCAGAAATGTTCATTTATTGATCATTCCCATTGAATTTAGGTCAACTAGAGAAAGACTTAAAAAAAAATAAATCTTTTTTCCTGTTTAGGCTTTTTATTTCAGCCTGTGTGAATAATCGATCCATCTAAAATCTGCTTTACCTCTGGCCAGAGACACAGTATGACATTTACTAACCATTTAGAAGAGGCTATCGCTGTCTGATGGAAGTTTCTCTGAATGACCTAGAGTGAGAATCTCGAGCTGAAAGCATCCACAGAAGTTACTGAAACAAGTCTCCATTCTGCATATGACAATACTAGGGCTGGGTAGGTCAGACTTCACCAACAATCCTAAAGGCCTAAAATAAATTGTTTGAATGCGAATTAAGTGAGAGCCTCCGGGAACGCCAGCCCCGGCACATGAGTAATGTGAGGTTTTCAGAGCAAAATGGAATCTGGTATTTACTCCACCTCACTGCTAGTCCAGGCTGAATATGTAGAATGTCCTAAGAACCTTTATTTCCCTTCAGAATGTTACTTCCCCCTGGGTCTTTCTATTTCTTTATACATTTTAGATGTGATCATTACATGAGACAACTGTGCAGACATATTCTTAGGTTTTTACACTTTAAAAAGTGACACTTAAAAAGAATTGGCAACAAGTATGTCCCCCTCAACACCCGCCCTGCCGCCATTTTTCTTTTCTAACCCCCTCCCCTGCTAAAAAACAAAAGAAACAAAAAACCCTCTTCTCCTCCCACTAGTGGCATCACTACAGTGATACCTTTGCTTACTTTCTCTCTCGTTTAGGCTATGTCAGCTATAGGCAGGGGATTCTCTTCAACGTGTCCACTGCTATAGAACAGTACCTGACACCCAAGAGCCCAATCCGTAATTATTTGTTATACGATTTGGTTACTCTCCGAAAATTTATATGTCTATCCCTCATTCCCTCTAGCCTCCAAAAAAAAAAAAAAAAAAAGCTGGGAAACATAAGATTAGAGGTAAAACTGGATTGTTTTTATTAAACTATACTGGTGGTTCTCAACCCTTAGTGTGGCAACGAGTCACCCAAGGCACTTGTTAAAATGCAGATTCCTGTCTGCCTCATCCCCCCGTCCCAGTTCTGATTTGGTAGGTCTGGGTGTGGCTCAGGAATCTGAATTTTTAAGCAAACACCCTGGGTCTTCCTGGGCACCACACTCCGGGAAATGCTGAGCTCAGCCCATAGCAGAATTAGAGCGTGGCTAACAGTCAGAGGGTCCAGAAGGAGAAACCTGGGAGGGATCATGGCGGGGCATTTAGTCCCATCTCCTCACCATTCAGACAAGGCAGCTGAGGCCCGCTGTGGCACAGGGACTGGCCTGAAATCTTGTTAACATATTTAAATGCCATTTGCTGGTGCCTGGTTTTATCGGAGCGGCATCTCTTGTTTTTGGAATCTGTTACTACCCTAAGTGACACCAATTACTGAGAAACATCCCAGTTTGCTGAAGAATACTTAAAATAACCAACTAATGAGAACGTTAAGTATATTTTCTCATTAGTAATAATGCAGGCTCCAAAGCCAAACCCCATATCTATATATACTTGTATTGCTAAATTAAAAGCAACTGTGGGGCAGAGAACAGCTACATTTCGAGGAGAAACAAATCAAACGTGACATGTTTTGACTGCACTGATATACAATGATCTGAGCTCACTTTTGAAGGAGAGAAGTTTGGCCCAAAGGAGAAGTGAAGGTCCCAGAGCCAGGAACACTTCCCAGAGCGAGAAGCTCTCTTTCTGGCCTCTCACACATGCATGCATTCCCTCTGTGACTTGGAACCCAACTGCTCCACCTCCCTTTCCCACAATCGGGGAAAACCACTCACTCATGACCTTAGAGACATACACGCCGGAGCAAGGTTGGAACATACCTATCTGGCAAACATTGTCTCATTTCTCCATTTGCCCAATTCAAGGGGGAAACTGGTATTGTCAACAAATTGTCTTGGTCAAATCAACTGTCTGACTCAAATCCGACAGGGCAAATTCTTATTTAAAATGTAATAAACTATGGACACACACTAGAATGTTAACATTTGTTACCACTGAAGAGTGGGATTAGTCAGGAATAAATGAAGAGGAGAATTTCATTTTTCACTTCGTCCTCTTCTAAATGGTTTGCCTTTTAAAAAAAACCCAATGGGTATATATTACTATTATTGTCATTTTTAAAAACCCAGTAAAGCTTCTATTTAAAAAAAAAACTAGTAAATTTTCATTACAGAGACAAGGCAGTATGGTGAAATAGGAACTTAAGACCTTGAGTGATGAGATTCAGATCTAGCTCTAGCTCTGCCCCTGACCTTAGGCAAGACACTTAGGCTCTGTAAGCTTCTATTTACTCCTCTGAAAATATGGTGGTTGGATTAGATGATCTCAAAGTCACCTGCAGTTCTATCCATTTGAATATATATATCAGGAGAAGATATTATGAAAACTGAATTTCAATGAATGACATTCTTAAAAAAAATGACTGAAACAATAAATTACAGCACATAAAGCTGTGGCTTAAGTGAAATTATGTAAGAACATATGTGATCTTGCCTAGCTCAAAGTAGGCACTCAATAAATTCATTTTGCTTCATTCATTTTATGGTAATGTTTTTTAGAGAACAAAGCAAGTTCAATCCTGTTAAATAACAAGTTTCTTAACATATATTCACATACACATTCACATATATATCTAAAATCATATAAATATAAAATTACTTGCATTTAGGAATAATAAGGTAAACCCCAGAATCATAAAATCTTAGAGTTGGAAGGAATTCAATATTCAAAATAACTTCTCTGCTTGTGAGAAATCCTGTTATGTGTTCTCCTTATTTACTTCATGTGTTGATGAGCTCATGCTTCCACAGTAACTCTTGTAGCTAAGAGAGCTCATCCTTATCTTCAGAATGAACTGGATGGGGCCCCCCCACTTCTTCTTCTTCTAGATCTGCCCTTGGGAGCAGCAGTCCTCTTTCCACAGGGTAAAAGAGTAACCCAATCCTGCCAAACCTTCTCACTTTCTGTCTAGATATTTTCGTTTCCTCCAATCATCCCTTACAAGTTTCCATAAATGGTGTGTTTCCACGTCCCTCTTAAACTCCAGTTTGGGAATGGACTTAACCCTTGAAATGTAGTCTCATAGAACAGAGCCTGTGTGTCCACTCCCAACTTGGTTCTGGTCCTGCATTTCTACTATAGCAACCCAAGGTAATTCAGCATCCCTTCCTTCCATCACACATATGTTTTGTTGGTTCATATTGAGAGTGTATGGAATAAAGTCCCAAGATCTTCTTAACAAGAACTACTGATGGGCCAAGGCTCTTCCATGTTTTGAAATTCTAAATGCTGAGTTTCACATTTATTTTTGTTAACTTTCTTCGTGATGGCTTCAGCCCATCCTGTTCCAACCTGTCGAAATCACTCTGAATGTTGATACTGACATCCATCATATTAGTGATCCCTCCCAGATTTCTGTCATCTTCAAATGTGATCAGCATGCCTTCTATGCCTTCATCCAAGTTTTTGATGAAAACTCACTGTATTTTTAAAAAGTCTTTTAATTTAATTGATTTTGGTCCAAGTTTTGATAATTTTGTAAAGCTATCTAAAAGCAGGAGAATCCAACTTATGAGGTTCAACCTGATTCCAAAACAATGCAATTAAAATAAATATGCTTTACAAAATTGGGCAAGGCACCAAAAGATAGTATCAATGTGACCCAGACTCTGGCATGGTCAATCTGCTATTTTGGACAAAGCTAACAATTAAATTGGATAAATGTTTGTTGATGAGGATGGTGACTCTAGTCTAACACACTGAATAGTGCAGAGGCAAGCAAACACACTGGATTGATTTTTCCATGTGGAGACAGTTCCCAGCTGGGACAACTCAAAGTGCTGGGGAGGGTTTGCCACTGAATGACTAATTAGGCCACGTAGGCCAATAATAGGGCCAAAAAATCACTCTGGGGGCCCAAGTTCTCTGGACTGACCATCAGTAGTGATTTCCAATGCCTGGAACAACGTCAGACCGTCCTACAGGCTCGGCATAGGCACTGTGGAGCAGCTTCATGAATTCAGACAAATTGCATGTGGGGAGGCCCAAAGGTGCTTCAGGGAGGGGAGGTCATTATTTCTGAATGCTTTTCTAGCACCCACTCTCATTGAAACCAAAGACACGGTGAAGCATGGTATCTAGGAACACAGACTTTGGGGTCTGTGGGTCCCCAGAGATTGTTGGGGTGTTGGGTCCAACACCCTTTGCTTCTAATTCTCTCTTTGACAAATGTCACCTATGTGACTTTGGGCATGTCACTCCCTTACCCTTTCCCAGTTTTCATCTCATCATCTTTGAAATAGGTGATAACGTTTACCTTAATGATATGGCTACATGACCTGTGACATGTGTAGTTCATACATTCAACAAATGGTAAAGGAAGAAAGGTTGGTCAGGGAGATAATGTACAGGGCACTGTGCTAAAGCTTTGACAAGTATCATCTTATTGACTCTTCTTCACAGACCACCCCAGAAAGTAGATATTATTATTATCACTCCATAACACAGATGAGGAAACTGAGGCATTACAAGGTTTCATTGGTTGCTTAAGGTCACCCATCTACTAAATGATGGTGTTGGGATTTTCTTCTAGGCCTGCATGGTTCCACAGCTTAAACCCTTAACCACTGCATTATTCTGTTAGACTATTATTTGAGACTTGACTTTAGTTAAGAGATGCTACTTGTAATCAGAATAAGAGTCCTCAACCTTTGGTGCTAAGGGTCTACCATGCTTCTCATTTGACGTGTTGTGATTAGGTGTGGAGAGGAAGCTTCACAGCCTATAATGAGAGTGAGGATGAGGGAGGGAGGATCGCAGCAGGTTCACCAATCACCCCTTCATTTCTGTCAGCATCGCAGCCCAGAAGGAGGGCACACAGCAGACACACAAACACACTCTCTTTGCCAGCTCTTCCATCAGAAGTCTGAAATACTGATTAGACCTGGGGAGGGCAATCTGGTAGTCGCTGCCAAGTCAGATCAACCAACTGGAGATCCCTGGATTGGCCCTTCTCTCTCATCTGTGTGCAAACTGTGTTTCTAAGTTTTCTTGGATTAGAGAGTGGGAGACTATCCTCACTGTTCACCGTTCTTTAAGTGATGAGACGAGATAATAGAATGCAATGTCTAGCATGCAGAAATAACCCAATAATTGTGGTCTTTTTCCTTCCTTTCCCTCTCTGCTGAGACCCCGTCTTATTAGAAGCTTGCTTTTCTGAGTCCAGTGATGTTTATACATTTGCTCAGAAAATCCCTTCTCATGGTTCCCCTCTGTGTTATACAAATTTCTGGGAATTTTCAGAGTTCAAACTGATGATACTTGACCACATCTTATGAGAAATAAAAATAGTGATATGCTTTGGTTGATTTAAATAACAGTATTGGTACTCATTTACGGTTTTCAAAGCCATCATTCCTGTGTGACTCATGTTCCAAACATCCCTCTGGGGTTAAATATTATAATCATCTCCACTGTAGGAATGAGAAAGCCATGAGCAGGAGCCAGGTGACACTGGCAGGGAGCAGCAGAGGCAGTGTTTCATCCCGATACCCCTGACACCTCCCAATGTCAAGGCCAGAGCTCGCTCCTCTCCATCAGTGGTCTAATCCCCTGAATAAGCAGCAGGTCAATCAGTGCTGATGCAATAGGGTAAACTGGTAAGGGATAACTTGAGGCTCACCCAGATGGTTTGATCACAATATGAAAAAAGTGTTGGTCCCTTCCTCTAAACCATGAAAGAAACCTACACACTGCAATTCACCTGTGCAGATTTTCATTGACACAACCACCAGGAATTCTGCAACAATGGTATGACAGGTGCAGCACTGTCAGGGTCATTTGTTAAGGCATTCAGAGACCCAATAAGGCAAAAATGATTGGGCGCAATGGATGCACCAGAATTGCTAAATGAAGGGAGAAATATAGGAAAGGTATGAAAACTGTTCAGTCCAGTGCCAGGTGCAAAGTCATTCAATCAACTCATGTTACCAGTATCATGAACAGAGACCCGATCATTCATTCAAAAAGCAGGACATCATAAAACTTACTCTGGAGTAATCGAGATCTCTGGGTGTTGAGTCTGTTAAAGCTCGGACAAGGGCGTTCATCATACAGATCGGAGGAGAAGGTGGAGAGGGCTGAGAAGGTTCCTGCTGTAATGGGCTCTTTGGTTTGGAAGGCAGCCGACCTCTCCTCCCTTTCAGACTGTCTGTACGGACAACTGATGCCAAGAGAAAGAAAGAAAAAAATGTCTTCAAAGATATCCATAAAGAGCCATAAATCACAAAAAAGAATCAAAACACATTACAGTTGAGCAATCATTAACGAGAGCAACATTTACAAGTGGCAATGAGTTTGGAATTCTATCCCCACAATGATTTAATGAGAGTTGAAACAAGCAGCATAAAAATCACTCATACTTACATCTGGTAATGAATTAGCCCTGAAAGTCTCCTTCTTAAATAGAACAGAGATGTATGTACACAAGCTCTCTATTGATTTTGAGAAATTAGAATAAGTAGTCCTCGGCTATTTTTAAATGGTAATACACACCATAAAAGTAAAATGTTGGGAAGAAAAGGCAACTAGGAAAATTCACCATCCCAACATTAATATCAACATTTTTCTCAGTGATAGAATAGGTATAAGCAAGCTGAATAAAGAGCATTATATCCGTACCTTCTTTAACCATGCCAACACTGAGACACTTCTGAAATCGACAGTACTGACATCGGTTTCGACGTCTCTTGTCTACAGGGCAGTTTTTATTTGCCAGGCAAACATATTTTGCATTTTTCTGAACCGTTCTCTGAGAAAACACAATACAGAGATAGTCAACTAATAGTTTCTGGAAAGAGGTAGGACCTGACAAGATGTATTTTAATTACAATGTGAAAAGCGACAGTGCAATTCGTATAATTAGATAAATTTAATTTCCTAACACGCTAGCCTGCAGGAAAAACAATTTTATTAGTGTTAGCTGCTGACAATGAAAATCATCTCGGATTGTTCTGAAGCAAGTCTCAGGAGACACCCAAGTCTGAATGATAAAATCATATCTGAAATTACCAGGTCAACATATCATACCTTGGAGGATTAGATTATCTCCACTTTTAATATCCCTTTGGGAACAATTTTCTACTTGTTCCACTCCCCTGATTATTGCTGACCTTATTAAAATAAAATCAAAATTATCTGGGATGTACTTTGTTGGCTATCACTATTGTAAGTCAAATATCACAGTAACTGGCTTTGTTCCCCAATAGAGATGAAATCATAAAAAGCAAAATCAGGACTTGACTAGTTAAAACATATAGGAAATGTTTTTATGCAAAAAAAATCACTATCGCTTAATCTGCCTATATCATTTATTTCATCTTTAAGATATTAAGATAATATATATTAAGAGAATATTTTAAGAGGATATCTAGGGTAAACTGATTATTTCTGACTTTTGAAAGTAAAATCTTAAAATTGGTTACTAAAAACCACACCAAAAAAAAAAAAACAACCCAACAAAAAGATTAAAAAAGAAAAAAAAAAGGAAATATGAGAGCCATAAATTTTCAATAAAATTTCCTATTAATAGGTTATCTCATAAATGACTACTGACATAGACATCAAAATAGCCATATTGTAAACAATACAACATAAACCTTAGACTTGGATATAAAATGATGTTTTATTCTTCAGCATCACATATGATTTGAAAATAACACATGGAGAAATAATGAAGCATGTTTTATGCTCCAGATTTTAAAAAATGTTTTTAAAAAATTAAAAAAAATTGTACAAGGGGATGTGTAATTTACTACTTAGGGTGAAATTATTCAGAGATTACGTGAATCTATACAACTCCAAATAGAGCAGAAAGTTGGAATTTATTTAGTAAGCCTGGACCGCATTAAAGAAAGAATGAAAGAGAGAAAGGAAGGAAGGAAGGAAGGAAGGAAGGAAGAAAGAAATCCAGATAATTTAGGATTGGTGATCTATTTTGGGTCCAAAATTCTAGATTCACTTTTAATCTTTTACTTTTAGCAGTTCTCAAGCCCCATAAATTAGTTTTCACACCATCACCTTTTAATTTCATTTTAGGGAATGGTTTCTAAACTGCTTCTACGACTTTAAAAATCTACCAAAGCCAGATCCATTTAGTTTAAAATGCAAAATTCCAAAACACAAACACATCTCTGAGTTTCCAGCATTTAAATTCTCAACAGTCTGTAAGGGTAGGAAACTTATGTTTCCTGAATGAAGCTCTCTTTCATTGGACATGCAGTAATTTCTAAAACTCTCTTTCTTGCCATCATCCTCAAGGCTACCTGCCAGTTTGAGTGCTGGTGGCATTTTGCTTCAGGTATACATCTTCCCAATAACCTGAAACCTTCCCCACATTTGTGTGTGTCTGCACAGTTTAAGGACAGGGAGAGATCGTTATGGTTCAATCACTGAATTCCCATCATTAACTGCACCTCATGTCACATTTTTAAAGAATTCAATTTAATGGTAGAAAGCCACTGGGTAAAACCTGCTCCTGTTCCTTTAATTAACAGATCTGTGGGGTGGTTCTCCCCCATCCTACCCCCACCCTTTTGAGTATAGATTTGTTTTCAAGGCATTGCTGCAGAAAAGGGACGCTGTTGGGGAACACTTAATTGACATTTCTAGACGAGGAATGTATTACCACTCCTGTATTTTGGTTAACTCTCAATTATTCAGAGGTGATTATATTCGTGGGTTAATCGTACTTCTCTTAATTGTTTTTCTTTCTTTTACCCTTTTTGGCTGCCTGTTTCATTGCCCTTCAGCATTTCCACTGAAATGCTGTGAAAATGAAATCTGCTACAGGAATGTGGTTAACTTGGAAAGAACCCTGGTAAAGCGTGAGCAGTTCAGACAGGAGAAAAAAATGGCTAAACTGAGGGTTCTACATTTAAAACATTATATTTCTGCATACCTCCTATATGGCACTAGACATACTACAAAGTCTTTCCACAGCATTTTCTCATTTATCTGCAGAATTTAATTAGTTGCATGATATAACCCCAGATCAAAAATAACTGTTGCTTGCTGGTAGGCATACCAATCCACACACATGTGCATTTTAATAAATACTTGGTAGTTTTCATTTAATAACGAACTACTATTTTATGGCCCTTTAAATAAATGTGTTCATAACTGCTTTATCTAATTTGATACTCATGGCCCTTCTCTGAATTTTTATTCACCTGATTGGAAAATGGAAGCCTAGAAAGACATACCATGCTCAACATGGTATTTTGGATTGGTAGATGACAGATCAAGGACTCCTATTTGAGTGTTCTGACTCCAATTTTAGCACACTCCCACTCCCAGATATATCCTATTGGCCTCCAAATACCAGTTACCCAATCAGCATCTAGCTTCCCTTTTCCTTCCACCCTGCCAGGCTCTGGAGGCCAGGGAGTGGCCAGGTGCGAGAACATTTGTGGGTTTGCAAATGCCTGATATAATGGCCAAGGGAGTAGAGAGGGTGGCACAGAATTAAGGGTCTGAAGAAGTCTGGGAGTCAGTAGCAAACGTTGAGTGGCAAGAGAACAAGGCCTCTTCTCCCTCAACAGTAGAAAGAGCACTGACCCCAAGTGTTGAAGGAAACCAGCCGGAACGGCCAAACATGCCACTAAATCACCATTTATAGAACGCACAAGGCTTCTCTTTCTAGGCTTCAGCTTACTCAGGGGTAAGTTATGGAGGAAGCCGAAGACCCTATAAAATTCTCCTTTGGGTCTATGAGATAATGAACAGTGTCCACACCTGGCACTGTGTGTGGCAGAGAGATGGAGGGGACTGGTGAGACCCCAGCTTCTGTCTTCTACAGAGGGAGCTGCCCCAGCCTGCAACCAGCCAGTTGCTCCTGTCTATTCTGCTGGTGCAGACCTGCAAAGAGTTCTCACAGAGTGTGTGTCTTGGGGTAATTTCAATAACCTCTTTGAGTCTCCACTTCCTCATCTGTGAAGCAAGGATAATTAATACCTACCTTCAAGATACTATTAATAAAAATGGCTAGTGGGTGGTCAGAATTCAATCTCAGGTCTGTCTGCTTCTAGAGTCCCAGCTCTTATATGAGGATTAAGTGAGATATAAATGTCCAGGGCCTGGAACACAGACCCCATCCCCTCCCATACCCTGCATGGACAGAGGAGGAATACAATGAGGCTTCTGCTTTTTTTTTTTTTTAAAGGCTAGGGATCCTTTTGAGAATCTGCTGAAGGCTCTCCAGAAAAATGTTCATAAGGTAAAGCCAAGTCGGGAGGTTCACAGCTCCCTGGAGTCCAGGTCTGCCTCCGTTCATGGACCTCAAGTTAAAAACCCCTGAGAGAGTGGGTGTGAAGGTGCTAGGAAAGGCTACAGGCACGCACGGTATAATAATGCCACTTCTGGAAGGGGAAGGACCCTCTTGGACGCTCACTTGGCAGGTGGCAGAGAAGGCTGGCTGCAGAGGGGAGGGGGCGCCAGGATGAGGCGTGCGCTCACCTTGAAGAAGCCCTTGCAGCCCTCGCAGGTGCGCACTCCGTAGTGCTGGCAGGCGGCGTTGTCCCCGCACACGGCGCACGTGCCCTCGCCCGACGACGAGCTCCTGTTGGGCGGCGACGGCAGGTTGGGGCTCTCGCCCAGCAAGCTGGACGCCGTGGGGGAGGCCGTGAGGCCGAGCGGCGGGAAGGCCAGCGCAGCCGCCCTCTTGGCCAGCGGCAGCCCGTATGGGTGGCCCTCGAGCGCGGCGGCCTGGCTGCTGGCGGCGGCGGCGGCGGCGGCGGCGGCGGCGGCGGCTCCCAGCGGCAGGCTGAGCGCTGCGGCGGCCGTCGGGTCGTAGCCCAGGTGGTGGCCCCCGGCCGGGCTAGGCGCGGGCGGGTGCGGCGGCGAGGGCTTGAAGTGGAAGAGAGGGAAGCGCGCGCCGGGCACGGTGGGCACAGCCTTCATCGGCGGGTCGAGCAGCGGGCCCGGAGCGATGCAACCTTGCGCCGAGGGCAGCGCGTCGTCCCACAGCGCCCCCGCCTGCGGGGGGAAGCCCGGCGTGGTGGGCGTGGATGGCGGGGACTGTTTGAAGTACATGGAGGTGCTGGGCAGCACCTCGTCCTCCGGGCCGGACGGGGGCGGAATGGATGGCTGCTGCTGGGGCTGCTGTTGCTGCTGCTGCTGCTGGTGGTGGTGGTGATGGTGGTGATGATGGTGATGGTGGTAGTCGTGCGCGCGGCCCTCCTCCATCTTGATCAGGGGCCGTGGCCCTGATGGCTGCATTTGGTACAGGCAGGAGGGCTTGAGTTCGTAGTTGCTCGAATAGCCTTCCATGAAGGTACTGAAGCTGGGCAGGGACGTGGTGGCGGTGGCCGTGATCTCAGTGCTGCCAAGGTCCATGGTCAGTTTGGCGTAGTCGGGGTTCATAATCTCCGTGGTGTATTCCGAGCCGTAGGTCTGCACTGCATAACTGGAACCTGGAGGCGAAGGGCTATACTGGGCTTGCACGCAGGGCATATCTGCAGGACAGGGAAAAGGGTCTGTCAGAAGCAAGTCAGCACTCTCTCCTAGCTGACAGGTACCACTGGGTTCATTGCTCTCTCATCTGGGAAATGGGAGGGGAAGTGCCATCCTTTTCTCCTTCCGGTAGAGTAGATTTAAAGCTTCATGCTTACTTTCTTCCTTGGAGAAAGCGGAATTCCTGAAAGACTGTCTAAGGGGCCACAGGATGCCAAAACCAGGCCTCGTGGGGACCTCTGCCCACCTTCTCTCTCTTGCCCTTGTTCTCCACCAGATCCGGGAAATTTGACTCCTTCTTTCATAAGCCCAGTCATGTTTTGACGAAGGGGTTTTGAACCCTATAAACTAATTGGGGGTGGTCTTGGCCACAAGTTGGGAGGACAAAAAGAAAGCCAGTGAATGCTCTGTTGGTTTATTTTTGGGAAAGAGGCCACTAGTCCCCAAAGTCACATGCATTGATTTAGAAATCTGAGTTAAAAAAAAAAAAAGTGTCCTTTGCGAGACTTACTGGCCAAGGAAGACTGACATTCTAACATTTTATGAGTGCCAACTGAGCCTACCCACACATATTGTGGTCGCTTTCTCCCACCCCCTCCCCATTTCTCCAAACACAGCTAACAGCCTACACAAACTGGACCCCTCGTGATGACTTCAGCCAGTTAGGTGGAGAGGTGGGAACACAGGCCCAGGAAATGGACTCGGGGGAGTTTGTGCCATCTGCAAAGAAAAAGATCAGCAGCTGCAACAAAACACCCACCGCACATGCTCTCTGCGGTATACAGTATGTATATACACACACACACACACACACATATATGTATGCCCCAATTCTGACTAATAAAATATATCAGTGGCTGTTTTAAGACAACAGTTTACAGCTGCTATAAGAGGTGAGGTAGCCTACAAATTTTCTTATGACAGAAGAATTAGTACCTCTGCAAAAGAAAGCAGTTCCTTAGTAGGTTCAATTTCTCTGCCAGTTGACTATGTTGAGCCCCCGTAAGTGACTAGTATCCCAGATGCTTATTATTGTTCAGAGAAGTTGAGCTGGATGAGAAGGCCTTGGGAATTACTGGATCTAGTGGCTGATTTTTTAAAGATCTTATTATTTCTCTTTCTCTATGGCTAACTAGAAATAGTAAAATGGGCAGTTTCTGGGGGTTGGTTTTTATGAACCAAAGGAAAGCAGGTGCTTCACCTCTGTTTGGAGTCTATGGTCTAGAAGTTGTGACTAATAAAAAAAGTGAGTACTTCATATTTCCTTTGACATCTTTCTCTTACCCACGTTTCCAAATCTGATTGAGTCATGCATGTATGGGATGAAATCTTGACTTGAAAAAAGGTGATGAGGGCCTGTGGGAAGAAGCGGTGATGAGAGGCCAGTTCAAGCCTTCATTTTCCAAGAAGGGCCTTAAAAACACTCACTAGTTTGAAGTTCAAGGATTACTTATCCTGCTGTCTTGTTAGGGTGAAATGAAAGGCTAATGATTTAAAAGAAAGAACACTGCCCAATGTTCCATCTATTCTTCCTTCAGCACCTCTAGGATTTCTCCATTAATCTTCTGTCATCTTTCCTTGCCAGTCCCTATGCATTGCTCTTCTTTGTGTCTTTCTGGGGTTTCCAGCTAGAATATGAGTTTGCTTGCTCCTAAGTTCTATTGATCTGCGTATCTTTGGTGATTACACAGTCCAGGCACCTGATATCTCTTTAACAAAGGCATAAAGAGGTGTTAAAAGCCAAACCTGCAATCCTTTCTTTTGCCCAATTAGAATTTACTCCTTGGTTTTCAGCTCAAATGCTTTTTCTCTTTTCCTCTGCACTTTAATAATCCAAACTTCTGCATCAAATGATTTGGGTTCTGTACAAACATAAATGCTCTGTACTGCTCAAAGAGAGTCCATAACTTTTATATGCATAAACTGGATATAAAAGGAGAGCAAAAATGGAGACATCAAAATGTATAATAAGATCCTAATCTATTGGCGTATGACATTTTTTTTTTTAGGAAAAATATTTTTGAGAAATGCAACGCTTAATTGAATCTGGCTGCTCTACTAGGTAGCAACAGGGTGTGGTATCCAGAGGAGCTTCGTGCAAGGAGGCCACCTGTTCTGTGAAATGCATGGTCAACAGTCACTGCCCTGGTGCTGGGCAAGTGGAACAGCCCTCCTGCTGGGTGTGTGCATTCCCCCCCGCCCCCACCTCTCCCAGCCTGAGAGGAATAAGGCGCCAAGCCTTTAGACCTACCTGGAGGATATCTTGCGCGCTGAATGGTGGGGCTGTGGGTCTCTCCAGCGGAGGCTGAGAGGGTGGGAGGCGGGGACGTCCGGCGAGGCGAAGCGGTGGCAGTGCTACCCGGCTCCGCTGAGGGTCCAGGCTCAAGACCGGGGCTTGCCGAACTGCGCTCTTCCGCAGGAGGCTCTGCGGGCACCGGGAGAGACAGAGCTTAAAGTGAGACCAGGCTGGTCGTCGTGGCCGGGGCTGGGCGTATTGGGAGAGGGTGGTTTGGTAGGGGGGTCACTATGAATGCTACGTTAATTACAAAGAATTGTAAGGGCAAAGAAGCAGTGATTAAGGTGAACGGGATTCCTGGGCAAGAAGCATCACACCTCCTTGGGGCGGGGGGGGGGGCGCAGAAATGTTGTCAGGCACCCACTACGCTCACTGCCGTTTTGTGGCACCCAAATCTAGGCTAAAAATACGTGCATTCTGTCATCGCCTAGGAATTGATCTCTCTTGTCCCCACAATTGGTTCTGAGCTCGCCAAGTCAGGAAAACCAAAGAAAGAGCACCTGAGGAAGAGTTTCGACCGAATTCGAGGAGTCAGTGAGTGTTCACGAGCAGAAAATAGTCATTTTCCAACTCCACTGCCCCCCCCCACCCCGCCCTCCTCAAATACAGAATTTACACGTTGCATAGGAAATGCACAAGGTCCGGAACGAATGCGTGAATGCCCCGGGGAATTAAGAAAGTCTGCGCTTTTCATTCTAAATGCTAATGGAGCTTAGCTTCTATTAGCCGCGAGTTTTGGGGGCCAGGGGTCAAGCAAACAAAAGGACACAGTGGAAACAGCCCCGCGCTGGAAACAAGGGGACCAGGCAGTTGGAGTTCCAGGCTGGTAGGGTGGGAGGAGGGAGGCCCCCTGCACCCAGCAGGAGGTATCCCTGAGGGTGGGCGACTTCGAGGCTCGGGGCCATCCGGCGGCCCCGAGGGGGCACATTCCGGAGGGCGCCGAGCGCGGCTCCGGGGCGAGCGTCTCTGCGCACAGCCTCAGCGAAACTTTGTAGCTGGAATCGCAGGTCCGCGGGCCTTGGGGGAAAAGGTCCACTGCCCCAAACTCTGGTCTACAGCGCCCCCTTTGCCTGGACCCGTTCATATCTCGAGGGTTGGGAAGGTGAAACTGAAAAAACCCAAAACACAACCCCCCAGAACCTCGGGAGTGCGCGGGCCGAGAGGGGCGTGTTAAGTTTTGTCCCCCGCCGCCCCTGCGCCAGCGGCTTGCCTGAAGGAAGAGGGAGAGGGGGTATCGGAACCCCCGGGTCCGGTAAGCCCTCGAAAGCCAGGAAACTGGGGATACCCTTGCCACCCCGCCCCAGCCCTGTCCCAGCCGATCGTACGGAAATCTTGCGCTCGCTCTAGCGCAGGCACGGGCGGATCTTCCCACGGCTGTAGCAGGAGCTTCCCGTCCACCCAGAATTTGCAATACAGGACTCCAGCAACCTCCCACCACCTCCTGCAGTAGGTGCCCTCATTCCTGCCCTCCCCTGGGTCCTTTCGAGCGGAGTGTTTCTCCTAGGATCGGCGAGGTTGCGTCTCCTTAAGGAAAGGGCTCCCCTCGAGCGCCGCGCGTTCGCGGAAAGAGCCACACCACGTTTCCTGCAGCAGAGCCAAAAGCCCCAACGCTCCCCCCCGCCCCCACCCCCGCCCACTCCCATGGACGGTTACCTAGGCAAAGCCTCTGCGCCTGGAAACACGTTCCGCCGCTCCGGCTCGCGGCCGCCAGGGCCGGGAGCACTGAGCCTCGGGGTTGTAAATTAGGTAGAAATAACTACCTCTGTCAAAGCTCCTTTCTTTCTCGTAGGCAGACGAAAGGAACACCCCCATGTTCCCCTCCCCGTGGTGAAGTGTGTGGAGGAAACCGTGAAACGCACCATTGTGACCGGGGCTCCTCCGCGGAGTTTCCAAACCTGGGGAGCGGGGGCGGAGGTTGGGCGGGGGCAGTAGGAGTGGAGGAGAGACCGACAGAAAGGGAAAGACAGAGATTCTCAGAAAGACCAAGGGAGAGGAGACAAACCGCGGGGGAGAATTTCTGCGAGCGCGCGGTCTCAGGGAAGGGAGTGGGTGGGTGCGGAGAGGAGGGAGCCGGTGTGGAGGTGGCTTGGCCTGAGCAATCTTTGATATTCACAGTAGAATCACCTTATCCAGGTAAGATAACTCGAATGAACTCCAACTTCATTCATTGTGCCCAGTAGCCCCGTTGGGCAGCTTTTTCTTTCCTCTCAACTCAGTTCTGTAAAATATTTCTCCGTCGTAGAAATAGAGGATTCAGGACGGATTTGCCATTCACCTCTCTCCTGGCACCCTAAGACTCTGGGATAACAGCCCAACATTTGTGATTACCAAACTCCTTGCAGCTCTTCCCTCCGAAGAATCCGGAGGCATAAGTAAAAGACAATTTCCAGGAACGTTCTTTAGAATCAAGGGACAAATGCTTTCTCTCTTAGTACTGACCCAAGCTTCCAGTGGGTTCGAGAGGTGCCTTAGGTAGTCATTCTCCCTAGGCTGCGCTCTCATAACCGCTCTCCGCTCACCACTGAGAACTTTCATTTGTTTCTATTAAGAGTAAAACACTCAGAGCAACTTCTCCAAAAGCGCGAGTTCTGTCAGTTAAGAGTAAAACATGCCCACACCAAGCCAAGGCCCGAAGGAAACGAACACCATCCCCACGCGTGTCCGGGCTCGGGAGTAGGCAATTACACCCGATTACCTCTGAAGGGAAAAGTGTACACGGGCAAGTAGGCTACGCCAGGCAGACGTGCCTAGTGGAGCCCTAGGCTCATTTCAATACAATAAGCCACATTCCTACAATTACGCCCTCTTTCCAGAGATCATCCGAGAGACTTTGCGAACTCCAACCACTGCTGCCCATGCCCCTTCCCTCCCAAGCTTCCTCCCAGTCAACCAGATGGAAGTCACCATTAGGTATATTAACTTGGACCCACCGGAGCCCCTATTTTCAATCCTGGTTAAAAGGCAAGAAAATTACTGCCGTTCATCACCGGAGCTGCAACTCCCTGCCGCAGCCGCTGCCGCCGCCGCCGCCGCCGCCGCCGAGAGCATCATTACCATGACAACTAGAGCCGAAATACCCTGAATTACATCGCTGGAGCTGCTACTGAACAAATCCCGGTCCTCCTCTTTGTTAGAGGCTTTTCGCCTCTTCGGGTGGGGGGAGGAATCCCACGAGCTCCAGAGATCCCCGTGGGCCCGCAACAGGGGAAAAGTTTCACATCAGAACCCACCGGGCCGCTCGGCGAGCAAAACCAGAGCAACGAGCCGAGGGGGAAAAACCCCACACGCAAAGTTGTCAATTTCAGGAGCGACGCTTCCCAGCGCGCCAACTTTTTAGCAAGTCCCCCAATTAACTGGGCGAATCTCATACGTACTTGAGTGCTGTGGCGGTTCCGTCTTTAGAGCGAGTTTCTAGAGAGCTGCCCCGAAATCTTCACTGGGGGGGAGTCACAGCTGCTGTCCCGGAAGGGCTGCTGTGTACACGCCCAGCGGCTCCCAGAGGTGGTGAGCGTCTGGCAGGGGATGCTGCGATCCAGACTCATGGGAGAGTGCCGGCGAGGGGTTCCGCGGGCGTCCTGGCTCCGGCCGCGACCAGGGGGGAGGATGCCGCCGCAGTTCCCACCTCCAAGGCCACCGCCGGCGCTGTCAGCGTTGCAAAGTGAGTCCAGGAGGGGCGTCCGGCTGCCGCGCGGCTCGGCACCGGCGAGGGCGCAGGGCGAGAGGGGTGTGAGCGCGCGGGAGAGAGTGGAATGTGTGTGAGGAGCTTGTGTGCGCGCGTGTCTGTGTGTGCGAGTGAGGGAGCGGGTGTGAGCTTGTCTGTGTGTGGGGAGCGGAGGAGGAGCAGGAGCTGGAGGGGTGGGGGGCGGGAGGCAGGAGACTCCGCTCTCCCGGCAGCGCGTTCGCTCGCTCTCTCGGCACGTCATTTATGCCACAGGAGCCCTAGCGGCCTCTCCATAGAGTGCCTGGAATGCGAGACGTCAATGTGACGCCATGGGACGCTACGTCACCCTCCTCCTCCCTCCCCTGGCCCAGCCGGTTCCGCGTGTGCGAGGGAGGGTGTGTATGTGTGTGTGTGTGTGTGTGTGTGTGTGTGTGCATGTGCGCGCGCGCGCGTTCCCCGACCATTCTCAGGGCTGCACAATGGAAACTGCGCGGCGCCGCCAGCCCCGGCAGGGGGGCTCTTTGGACTCGCGCCGCCAACCCTTTTGCCGCGGTGCTGCTCGCCAGGGCGCAAGTCGGCTAGAGGGTGCCGCGGCCCGCCCGCGGGTCAGGCGGGACCGCCCAGCTGTCAGGCTCGGGTGGAGTAGAGTTGGAGGAGTGAGGCTGGCGGCGACTCCGAGGCTGCCCCGAGGCATGGAGCCAGGGAGAGGGGGTAAGGGAGAGGACAGCTCTTCCGAAAGGGAAGGCTCCGCCAGCCAGCTTCTCCGAGTGACCTGGCAGCCGGTGCAGGAGTCAGGCACCGGCCCGACGACTCCCTGAGGTGCAGCTGCGCTTTCCTCAAGCAACAGTTCCAAAGCTGTTTAAGCCTCGCTGGCCCTCAGCGTCTAGGCTAATCCATCTCCTCCTCGCATCATTTGCTGAGTGCGTGTTTCGCACAGGGATGCAGATGGCTCCGGGAAGATAAGGTCTTATTTCATTAAGCTAAGGTGTGGGTTTCCTAACTGGACCCACTGTAACCCAACTAAGAGTGCACATCCATCCGTCATCCACGTGCGCGCTGCAGCAGAAACTACTTAATGTGTATAAAACAAACACACACGTGTTGAACAGCTGAGCGGGTCTGACTGTTGCAAATCACCCCCCCCCCCGCAGAAATGGAAATCTCAGCTCGCACTTTCACTTTTTGATGGTTGCCCCCCCCATCTCCCAAATTAAATATTTCGAAATCAATCAGCAGGATTTATTAGTCAGTCCCTCGCCATGGGATTTGCTCTGGTCTTCTGGGACACATTTGTCATGAAATAGTGTGCTGAAAGCCTGGGCGACTGTGTGAGGGAGAGCAATGTCTTCCTGGAAATGATGAATTTAAGTGTGAATTTCTCGCTGCAAACA